TGTATATAAAAATAGCAGATCCTTGAAATTATTACTCGGAAACGTTTTTTAAGCACAAACGACACATTATACGAGTATACATAGAGAATTCAAATGAAAAGTACAGCAAAAACATTATTCAATATTAGAGCAACTTAAAAATAAAAAAACTTTACAACTATAAAATTATTTAATATATTTTTACTATGAATAAAACCATAAGTTTATGAAGTTATTAAAAGTTACTTAAAATGGTACTAGGCATGATTATTTTACGGAAAAGGTACAATATATTCCTATGGGATACTATCCATCTTAATTTAATCACTTCATTACACTGATTGCTATGCGAAACTGTTAAGAGATGTTGTGCTTTGCAGTCTTTTATGGATCTTTAAAGATCTCCTCTAATTTGTAACGAAATCATTGAGGTGATCTTGATATATTCAGGATATTTGTAAGGCATTTCAAATCATAATGAATTATTCAATAAGTTTTATTATCTAATACAGGTTTTTATAAGCACTGATGAAAGAGAGTTTTAACTTATTTTAGACTGGAACTTCAAAAATAATTCAAAGTACTACTTTTGCTTAATGAGACATATTGTTTTATGTCTGTTTACGTGTCAATGTACTTATCTATCAAGGATTCTTTCGTTCCGAGATGGAATAATATAAATTGACGCAGGAACGTTTAACACCAACTTCTAGCAAGTTGACCGGATATTTATCTTCATTGTTGTTAAAAGTGCTATATTCGAGTTTATGGAGTATATATAATTGCAAAACGAAAGTATATTATTTTATTAGACAAGATGACATTTTAAACAGTTGTAATAACATTGAATATAGATTTAAACTATTGGACTAGTCGATTTAGATATGGATATGATATTTGGATATGACATTATTATATGGTACAATCAATATATATTTAAATAAAGTCTTGTGAGCCAAAACTTTTCAAACTATGTTTTTCAGAATATTTTTGATTAATATCAAAACTTCTATCAATTGGTTGAAGTAGTATTAACTGAAATGTGAAGATCTGACATGAAATTCTTAACACATTTATTGCTACTAATGCTAGGAGTGGGTTTCAGTGAAATTACAATTCTATTATGAAAAAATATATTTAATATATTCATTGAAATGAAATCTATCAAAAAAAGTATAACTGGAGTAAGATAAGAATTTTCAAATACTAAATAGATGAACAAAAATAAGATCTTAGGACAGGTAAAGATAGATACTACGGCCTAAAACTCATAAAATTAATTACAGGAAGAAAAACCTAGGACGTAGATTACTAAAAAAGGATGATACCCAAAAAATTTTTAATTCAAATGAATTGTAGCACAAAAACAAAGATTATTGGGGACCCGATTACTGTGAGGACCTCAATATTGTACATTAACTGTATTTTATAGTGGATAGAGATGGATGTGACTTATAAAGGGTAATAACATACCACATAAGCAATATTTTGCTTTTCGTTCTTAATCAAACGACACCAGTAGTAGTTTGGGAGTACCTATTCGGTTAATGGATGATTTTATCTGTGTATTTAGTATAAAAACGACATTAGATTGCAAAAAGCAGGTGGTGGCGATCCTGGTTGGATCGTCATTGTAAACTCTTCTGCTTATGAAGCGAGTTTAATCGAAATTGAAGGGATGAGCACATCAAGGGAAATTGATCAATATAATTGCTTGTGATTGTTGAACAATTATTTTCATTTAACAGATTAATCAACCTGGGTTAGGTTAAACTGTGTGACTGTAAGTCACTTATAAACATAGTTATTAATTCCTAGCGATGCCAGATAAAGCAAGACCTTTAAGTAGTTTTACAGTGAGCATCATGTCAAATGCTATTTGCAAATCAAAAGCATGTTTAAAACTCTATTCCCAAGGTTGTCCTCAACTTTCTCACTTGTGGAGGAGTAGGAATTTTAAGTGATTTTGTGAAATCGCAGAATATTGACATAAGAATTTGTGACATTACTAGAAAATTTTATGTATGTATTTGTATATAATATTATGATAGTAAAAAAAATAAATTTTAATGTGAAGTTAAAAAATGTAATTAATTTCAAATAATAATTTCAATATAATTATCTGTAGCCAAGATAAAGCTTCACTTTATTTTAAGGCTTTAGAAAAGTCATTTTCTGATTCTTATTGTCAGTAAAAACGCACAAAATACAATATCTGGCATATGTTCTGAGCAGCAGTGAAGATATTTTTTGTTCAAATGGAGAAAATATGTTCTGTATGTAGCTAAAGATACATTGGATCTTAATTTAGTTTTATATATATTCTTAAATAAATTTTCTTTTTAAAATTTCTCTAAGATTGCCAATATTTTATGAATTTTTTATTCACTTCAATGTTGACTTTACAAATTTGCTGAAATATAAAAAAATTAAATAAAAATGGAATAAAACAAAAATTAACATAAATGCAAATATTTAAAAAAAAATGTTGCATTTTAATCAATTAAAAACGTAACAAAAAGAGTAAAAACCGCTGGAAAGGGTCAATCGGAACAAGTAAAAATAGTGGCAAATAAACTCGAAGAACCCAAGGCAGAAATACAAAACGAAATCAAATTCAAAATTGTCCATAAATAATTCATCGGATTTTAGCGGTTTTTGAAATATTTTCAATTCCAAAAAACAAACAAACGAACGAGCGAACAAAAAATGTATCTTGTATAAATTTTCTAACAAATCGAATATGAAGGAAAGACGTCGTGTCTTAGTGGAGCACTTAGCGCAATGTACTAGCACATCCGCTCAGCTGCGTCTTCGCGAGGCTCTGTAGAACTAATCGAATCACTTCTGTCCATAGCTTTAAAGGTGAACTGGATGGACGCAGTCAACAGTTTTCGATAACATTTTATATAATACTTTTTTGTTGTTGTGCAGTTCGTTGTTTTTTTATTGTAGATGATTTAATTTATTGTAAATGCAATGACGTTGAGTCGAGGTTAATGCGGCTGGCTCAAAGTATCTCATTAAGGCAGGAACACAACACGGCCACGGCATAACAGCACAGAACTAACTTGCAACGCTCCGCTCCGCGCCGCACCGCTCCATACCGAATTAAATGGAAAAACAAAAATATTGCGCTGGGGCAGGGAAAGTGATATAAAACAAATAAAATTATAATAAAAATGTGGTAAATAAATGTATTCTTTGATTAAGTAGATAACTCTATTTAACTCATAACAAATATTTATGTATGCGAAGGAAGTACGAGTAACAAACTATAGTGGCTCACTTAAGATACTCCCGAGTTGTAGCACTTTGGCGTATGTGATATCGTTTATCACTCACTCAGATCTGTAAATTTATGGGTCTTATTATGAAGTTTATTTAGATTCATTCCCACCAATGTGCATTTTGAGCTTCATTGTTTTTGCTGACAAGATTTTGACAGTTGCGTGATTTTATTGTGGCTCAAAATTAAATATTTTTATTATTTATTAATTTTTTTTGCAGCTTTCATAGATTTTTAAATTTTCAACTTAAAAAATATGTGTGAAATAACTTAAAATTTTTTAATTTTATTAAATAAAATAAAGATAAATATATTTCTTAAAAGCAAAATTTCGAATAACTGCAATGTCCATTTATACAGAGTTACAGTGTGCAGTCATTTGACATGACTTCAACGAAATTATATATAAAATATCTTTGAGAGAGTAAATAATGTGAGATAGCTTAAAAATCCTCTTGATGATTCAATAAGTATACTTCCGATGACTGTGGGATGCTAAAGGAATGTCAATAAAAGAGAGAAGACTTAAATTAACGTAGTACTATTCTATTAAGATGGTTGTAATCCTACTCCACTTTCAGTTATCAGAATAGTGTTTTATTAATATGAAATATTTCTTTAAAAATAATAAGTCAACATTTTACTAAATAGTTGCATACTTATAGTTCGAATAAAATTAGAAAGTAAACCACTTCATGTTCTTCATTAATTTAAGAAAGTGAATAATGAAAACGTCATTGCATTCAATATTTTCGGCTCCTTTCCCTTGCAAATTGCTAATGAAAATCTAGTTTATAAAATAATAGATATATAGATTAATACAAAGGTAGACAGATTACATGGATATAGCCTTCCAGTGCAATGGAGTACTGATACCATAAAAAAATCTATTTGTACTACAATTGACCATAACCAAAAACAAGCCATTCATTCGTTGAAATGAAAACGAATCAGAATTTTCAATGATAAGGAAATCCAAGTATTAAGCGCGACAATTAGTCAAGACCAAGGCTTTTATAATGAGTCTATTTATAATCTTTCATTTGACTAGAAAGCCCGCTACAAACACTTGAAATATTCAAATTTACTGTGGAAAAAGTTTCTTTATGATGAAGTAGTCAGATTTAAAAGAATTGCAATAAAAACCTACTTAATTTTTTTATTTTTCACGACAACACCTTATTAATCTTTCATTTATCTCAACTTTATGATAAAAGAAGCCAATCTCTTTTTTCTTCACTTATAGTCTTCTCTTATGTATAAGTGTGGAGTTGTCAAGTCATAATATTGTTATTCGATATTACCTCGCCACATAAACCAGTACTAGCTACGGTGATATTGTAAGCAGATTAGATGACCAGGGTGGCGATCTTTATGTGATGCAAACTCTTTTCCAAACAAAACTTCTCATAATACAAAAGTTATTACTAAATCTAGAAATTAAATATAAGTCATACATCCTTAATATAATTAATTTAGTATCTACAGAACGCTGTAGCTGAACACTTTCATCGTAAATACCTAAGCAAAACTGATGGAAGTCTACGAAACAATCAGTTGAATTAATGTCGGATACAATTGATAAAAGTAATGTATTTTATTAACTGTGCAGTTAAGAATCCGGTTGTAAGGAAAACCAAAATATATAGAACAAAACTCCCACTCTAGTGCACTATAATCTAGTATTTGTTAAATAAATTCAAATACTAGTTTATTAAATTGTTAGTTAAATATAAAACTTTATTTTAAGGTTTATAATTTTTTCAGTTAGCAAATCTTGACCAAATTGTTAAATTTTAATGATGTTACAGGCACTTTCACGACCCTAGAATAATATTTTCGAAATAAATACTAGTAATTAATTGCTATAGATCGTATATTGATACTACTTACATTTCGTATTTCTAAATTAAAATGAACCCAAGTACCAGGATAAATTTCGACATTACCTACAATTTCAGAATAATGAAAGAAAATCTTTTTAGCAAAATCTGCGCAATCAATGAAGCCAAATGAGTTCTTCATGAAGGTGACAACTCCATAGTACGTGTTATGCTGGAAAAATTGTTTCAATCTCACATTTATAGCATTATAGTTACCACTTAAAGAGAAAAAAATGTTTTTTTTTTCATTTACCATTAGAGCAAACAAATAAAAATATTAATCTGTTAATTTGACTTACTTTGGGCTTTCAACAATCTGGAAACTGACTTTATCACCGATACGTAAACGTGAATATGCCTCCACTTCGTGTCTACTAAACGGTATAAAGAAACATTCACCACGGGCTTCGTAATTAATTCTACCGGTCTGTTCAGCACACAATGGTAGATTCGATAACTCATTTGGCAATTCAGAAGCCACAGTGCCAGTTACACGTATCTAATTGAACAACAAATGTTAGTTAATAACAAAAAATTTTGCGAAAAACTTTTACGTCTCCTGGGCGTATCTTGAAAACTTGACAAGCAATCAACCGTCCATTGACGCGATCAAAAGTCGCATCAAACTCCACAGGATCACCAGTAATTAATTTATTTATGTCACCACCGAATTGAGAAAAGTGGAAAAATAAACGTGCCTGACGTTCACAACATTGTATAAATCCGTAAGAATGCTGAAGATAAATTTTGTATATAGAATAATCTATTAGGCACAGAAATGTGAAAAACTAACCATAAGACTGTAGATGATGCCCGTTTCGCGGTATGGTCGGACTTCGCGCACAACCAAAGGAGTCTCTGGTGAGAATGCAGCGTTAAATGTATTTATACTGTCATAACATCGATTGCGTATTGCTATGGGTATATAAGCTCTCCATAGTGGATTGCAATCCGACAAATCAGAAGTATCGCTGGAAGACATTTGCATATAAAATATCTAGAATGTTGTTATTTGCTGATATATTCAAATCCAAATATACTTTTTATAATTTTATCAACGCAACAGCCGAAAATATTTTTTAGCTTTACTAGAGAACTTAAAATCTTTTAAGACAAACCATAAATTTCATATGAAAAAATTTTCAAATAATAGTTCTTTTTTTTTTGAAAATAAAGTTTATATTTACGTTGAAAAAATTGATTTCAGACTAAAAAATCACAGTTTACTTGTTTAAAAAACAAACTGTATTCAAATTTTTATTTAAATTTAAATAATGATGCAGAAGACAGAAGACAAACGCTTTCTAAGTTTAAAAAATATAAGTCTTAAATTTAGATATATAATGTCTCAACATTTTGAAATGAGTATTTATTGTAGTTATTGGAGATGCCCTTTTTTGGTGTCACAGTTATAAAACTATCTAAGCCTATCTCATGATAAACACCAATTCTTGTCGATTGTTTTCTTTCTATTCCCAGTTACTGACACCTATTCTCTGTAAATCTTTTTAACATATACTCCATCTATCTATCTTCTGTGTGATCATCTAATTTTCTTATTTCCAGATTTATCATACGATCACAATAACAATACACGTAATAATGCCTTATATTTTATTGGTTGTAGCAAAATTCAGTTCAACAATTTTTACAGATCTTGTCACAGATGTTACACTCATACTTCCTCGAAATTACTACATTTACTATTTAGTTATTTGACTGAAATTTCTTATATATTTCATATCTCATACTAATAAATGTCACAGTTGAAGTAGTATTCATCATATATAGAGTTTAAAAAAATTTATTATGCACCATAATTCTTTACATGCTATTTAAAATTTTAATTATTATGTTGAGAGATATGTTCTGCAATTTAGCAATTTATTGTGCCCCTTTAAGGACTTCGAGTATTTCTCAAGTCCAACTTTCTCTATAACTTGTAATATTAAATCTATATTATAAATAGTTTTATTATTTCATTCGATATGAGATGCCCACCTAAGTACTTCTTTCATTGTTGCAGAAATGAAAAGAAGACTCCTAACACGTATTTCAAGGTCACATTTTCTTCTCAACAAAATCAACAAGTTTCATTAGAGTAATTCACCAGTTTTCTAAAGTGATAGTTAACCTTCAGTGCTCTGTCAAAATTCTTGTAGTGGTTCTCACATTTTTTATTCAGGGCCATTCAATCCTTAAATACTTTGTGGTTAAAAGTTCGTATAAGCAATTTCGATACTGATAGCCCTGATCGATTATTCCAGTATATTTTTGTTTGTTTTTTTTTGAATGGGTGAGAAGAAATTTGCTTCTCGCAAGCCACATAATAATTCAGAGCCTGTCAGAAGCGAAATTGCCTCAGTTCTTACAAGTTTGTCTACAATTTTGTTGATGAAAATTCCAGCGTAACCCGGAATCTAAAGAATTCATATCCGATTGTTTTGACCATAATATCCTTTACTTAGACCTCAAAGACTTTCCGCAAGATCCCAAGCCCCAAAGACCTTCAAGACTATACTATATAATTCATTTAAGTGATTTTAGTAACGATTTCTGTAGATCAACTTCCCAAAAGATATACGTGTACATTTCATTGCACTTCTTTCTCAGGTCTTGAAATTTGTAAAATATTTAATGGATTACTTCCGTCTGCATAAAATGAAATATTTTTTTATAAATTTCTACTGCGGTTAAATATCATCAGTATCAAAGAGCTATGCTAAGTATTTACAGTGCGAGCACTAGTCTCATAGCTATGAAATTATATATAACATTTTGACACTTCAGACTTCGGTTCATAGATCTATTTTCTTAAACCTATTCTTGCAGCTTTGTTTGCAGAATCATTCTTATTAAAAATATTGTTCCGGTGGTCAGAATTTGTCTATGAGACTTCGAATTAGAGTTCAACATAAAAATAAACAAGTTATAAGGATTACATGTTCTTTCTTAGCTTTATTTTTAAAATTTTGTTAGATAATTAATAAAAATACTAATTATAATTTTTAAATTAAAATTTCGTTTTCTTTCCGTTATTACAAAGTATTATCAATATCCAGCAAAAACTTCAGATGTCGCTTTTCTTTTGTTCTGGTAGACAAGTCCCAAACCTTAGTTGCTCCAATAAGAGCAAATTAAGGACATGCGTGTTCACTCCTTATTGAAAAAGGGGAGCATACATATTCTGTGAATAATTTATTTTTTTTTTCGGAAACACTTGTGGAGTTTAGTCTTCTAATAGCTTTTCACCAAGCAGGATGTATGTCGCATGGCAATTGAATTATTTTCACTAAACATTATTTCAGGAACTTAAAATTCTTTAATATAATTGACATGATAACTTGTTTCTTATATTCTTCATTAAAAAGTCTGACAAATAGATTTAAATTTGCATAATCTGGAGTCTTGTTGGAAAGTTAAGTAGATTAGGCGCTTGGCATTGTTTAGAATAACTTTGCAGATTAAAGTCATGGCGTAGACTTTGAAGCATGCAACATATTGCATTGAAACTTGAAGTAAAATTCGTTGCACTTGTCAAGGAGCGTTGCGATTAATGTTCCAACAGACACGGCACGATATATTGCGCCAGTGGGAGGGAACCGCAACTCCCACAAAATGCGCTTTTAACATTAAAAATAAATTTCTTAAATCAAAACAGAAATTAAACTTAAATAGAAACACTGGAAAACACTGAAAGACACTGCAGCGAACATAAACAAATGTAACAGATACTGACAACAATAACTGCATAAATGCAATGTTGCAGTTAGGAAAATAAAAGCTAAAAAATTACAACAATAACAAAAAAAAACAAAAAAAACAGAAACAAAAATAACGAATTTAATACAGAATCATAAAAAAATAATATAAAAATAAGAGCTGCACACAATTTTCAGTTGAGCGGCCATGTGGAAATTTGCAATGGTTGCGCTGCTAACAGCAACAACAGCCGCACTTAGTAACATGAACGGACTGACATATGTGTACTTACGTCCAACAATAAAAACAATAAAAAACAATAACAACTGTAACCACAAAACGTTGTAATGGGAATCACAGCAGATGCACTCCCACAATACCGAATCCAATGCCACGAAAGCGTGCAGTGGAAAAATAAATAACAAAAAGTCGCCGTTGCCAACAATGGCGACAAACACTGGCTTGCATTGGAGAGACATCGGAAAGCAGAAATGGTTTTCCACTGATAGCAGATATGACAATTCGTAATAAAATGTAGTCCCAGAAATAACCAGCAAGCAATATGCCAAAATGGCTATTTTGCATCAAATAGGCACCACTTTTCAGCCGCTCAAACCAAACAATACATTTTATGCGTTTACCGGAAGTGCAAGTGCATAAACTGACAATGTAGTTGCATGAAACTGCATGCAGCATATTTGGACCTCATTACACATTAAGAACATCAGTTAATTATTATGATTATCTGCTTAAGTAATGAATTGCCCACGGGTTTGTGGGCAATTCCCGAGGAAATCGCTTTTGGCACGCGATGACACCGTCAAATACCACCAACATGCACCTCCAGAGATGCCATCACAGGGAAGTAAGCCCGTTCAGCATATTAAATCAAGCTGTGTAGAATTGTAAACACAAGTTCAAAAATAAAGACTAAATTAATTATGCATTGGAACATTAATCTTCATGGGTTAGAGTTGTTTTAGGAAAATACGCGTACACGATTTATAATTGAAATTCGTGCGTTTTAAGTCTAACTTCATTAACAGCAAAAAATAATTCTCCAGCTACGCCTCAACAAAATGCTGCATATAATTTGGATTTTACCTGCAAATGCATGAAAATTGAAAAACTCGAATTACATTTTAAACAGTTTTAAATTATATATATTAAAATGATTCAAAAATCAAAATAATTTTATTGTGTGCTGTAATTTATTTTTCATTTCACAACATGACAACCCCAACTAAATTGCCCCTCGGCCATTTGCAACAAAAGTTGAATTTTCCAAAAATTAAAAAAACTCAGAAAATTATGGCCATATTTAGAAAATTGCTGGCCAAACTTTCATCTCCCACTCCTTACCGTAACACACCTTCCAATTCCTCTGCTTCCAGGCTATTTCGTGCACTGCTCGAAGCTGTGGAGGAACCACAACAGCTTCAACATCGTCAACGAAAATGTGAATTACGGCTAACATGACCAACTTTTTTACAATCAAAAATTTTATGCAAATTAAGTTTAAGGTAACATTTTAGTTGACATAAAAATATGCAAAACCTTTGAGTTCCTGAATATTGCGACTATCCAAAAATTAAAAAACAAACCTGCAAAGTTTCCGGTATGAACACAATTTGTACAAAATGGAACCATGACACAAAATTTCAACATATTTTACTAAATTTTTTCACACATTATCACAAAAAGTCTCACATTACAAAATTTTTATAATTAAGTTTCACAACAGGAGTTGTCCTTTTCAGTGACAACAATTAAAAATGCTTTTAAACTATTGTCAATTCCTATCCCAATTGATATTTTTATTTTAAAAATATACGAATAATGTCATATATGTATTATATATAATATATATTTTTATATAATATATACAATTCTAATATATAAACTAGAATACTATTGCCTACAAAAAATCTGATCCATTGGTGGCACGATTGCTTTTCAAAAAAGATCTATGATTTCGAAATCATAGAGATATTGCCTTTGATAAATTCAAAACATCGAAATGCAACTGGACTGGGCATACATTAAATCGTCAAATATATATATTACAAGCCAAACCTTTAAACTCGCGACACAGCTGACGGTTTAATACATCGGCTATAACATAGCCAGGTGCAACGATATCTATAGAGAAACATAGAATAGCGATTCATTGTGGTTTTATTGACATTAGAAATAATTCCTGAAAATAGGAATATTATAGAAAATAAGATAGCAAAAGAGTTAGACAGAAGTTCCGAAATGCACATAAGTGGGGTCTGATTCCTCGTTACAAGCGCCGATATACTGTTTAAAACCAAATGACAATTACCAATTACCATTGCAGTGACAAATGATTTGAGACCGAGATTAGACTGGAATATAACGAAAAGTCTCTATAAATTAGGCAAACCTGCAGTTTGTGTATTTAATGGAGTACAACCGCAGCATAGTCTCATTGCACCGAATAGTGAGGTATAACGACAAGTAGACTGCGCTGGAATTGCTATAATGAAGATGAAATATCACTTTCTATATCTTTGTTTGCGTCTAGAAACGATGCGACTTAAATGTCTTGAAGATCATATCTTCACTGGTTTGACACAGATAAAATTTAGCAAGAATAATGGTAGGAGATAACAACAATTATTACAACTCGGCTCTTTCTGGCAACTTTAAGGACATCATGGGCAATATGGGCAAGTAATATTTCCTAATAGAAGTGTTAACAGTTATATATCCGGTCATGTTCCTCTCAACCTAACCTAACGTAAGTATGAACATTATGCAAATTTATTTGTTGGAGCTTTATAACACAGTTTAACAGATTATTATCATGTTTAAAACAAACTTTATTTCAATACAGTATAAGTCAACATTTTATGTTTTCATCCAATTTTCATTCAAAGCAACTTAACTCTTAATAGAAACTTGCAGTATATTTTAGAAAATTAATTACGCCAAACAATGCATCACAAAGATAGTTAATTCACTTTATCACATTAATTGTTTTAATCTATCTAAACCTAAATATCTGCCTAAATAGTTCAAACCTCCTCATATTGAGAGGTTTAAACTATTTAATATATAAATTTATCAACAAAGTTTACGAAGCTAAATCAACAATTTCAATGATCCTTCTCCTGTGTTCTCCGGGCATGAACGTTAAATACTAAAATGATACTATTTTCCCTAATTTCTAGGACTAGTCAAAGTTTAAGTAATAACAATATTAAAATTGAAAAATATTAACCATTTAATACCATTTTTCTTAATAAAGTTTGTCAAAGCAAACATAACAAATGTATTCGAGAACGGAAATCCGTTCACCAATATTCAAAATATGCAATAATTTCCTTCGAAGGACGTTTCAAACGAAAAATGTGCATGACACATGCAACAACCGTCAAGGTGACGGTAATAAATGTTTTAAGCTGAGCATTTGATCCTTCAAAGGCCTTTGCATAGATTTCCAAAAGAAAAAAGGACAAACGGAAAAGTCTGCACAAACTTAGGTTTCCTTTGCTAATGAGAAACTTTGAGACTTTTCATTACAGTAAGGACATAAAAGATTTATGCCCACAAACGGAAAACCAAAGCAAGGCGAAAAGCCTTCTACGTTTCAATTGTGGTTGAGATTGCATGCAAAGCACGTATCGAGTTTATTCATTTTATTTGCTGTTGACTTGTTGTTGTTCTGCCAGTTACCAGGACTTGTTGCATTCGTTGTTAACATTGCCAATGTCAACAATGTGGCAACGCTACCACTTCCTACCCATCTAGAGCATTATCCATGGACTCAATACGAAATCCTTTAGCAAATCACGAAAACACATTAAACACTTTGTATTTATGAACTTTTTGCGCAATTGAATTTATGCTTCCACTGCAGCCATTGGGGCTGCCAATTCCAAACGAAGTCAAAATAGAAACATAATTTGATGGATTTTAAAATACGCGTTTCCACATTTCATTTGCATACATTAGCAATAATTTTCTGCCCAACGAATAAATACAAAATATTTACTTAAGAATATTATTTCATCTCCGGTAGTGGCTGCGTCAGGCAGGAAGACAATGGAAGGATGCTGCACATGAAAAATGTTTTCATTAAATTGCAAGTTTACGTTTCCCATGAAATAAAAAGAAAAAAGGTGCAAAATGTTTGCAGAAGTGTGAGTTGCGAAAATTTATTGCAATTTTTTTTATGTTTTCATTTTTATTAAGTTTTTCTCTCAGCGACACGATTAGAAAATCCTTGCGTAGTCACATCTTTGCTAAAACAAAAACAAGAAGATATTGTGTTTATTTATGTGAAAAATAAAAAATTGCGAAATAAAAATTTCAGTGCACAACTAGAGCAGCAAGGAGAAGAGATGAAAGAAGTCAGAACTTAAGTAAACATTCATTTACATAACTTCTTTGCAAGCGGCAAGCCTAACGTTCTCAGTCTCATCCATACCCGTTGGCTTCTTCATTTCCATAGCCACAGCGACAGCTACTGCTACAGCCACATCCACATCGGTTAACCGCTGCCTCGTATATTAAAAAATTTAAAGCATGTTTTGTGGCGTATGAACTGGTGAATTTGTGTTTGGTTTTGCTGTGCTCAGGCACAGACCACTTTTTTCGCAAACAGCAACTCCTACTGGTGCACTTTCTTCTTGTAAAGTCCGAGGGGTGTGCCGTATCGTCTGTTTTCTATGTTAATTTTTCTGCTTATTTTTTGTTGATGCTTTTTTCTAATAAACCTTAAATGAGATGAACCGTTCTCAGTTAATGTCACATAAGAAATATTGTGCATGTTTGTTTTAGAAACGCAATGATTATGTGCTGACATAAAATGAATGCGACATTATCTCATATCAGCTACGCAGTATCACTCTATAGTCGGTTTAGGAGAACATTATCAATTTCCCCAACATATAATGATCATAATAATAAAAATCTATTGTTTAGGACTAATACAGTTTAGTCTAACTCAGTTGGAAGATACGGGAGTAAGTGTTTCTAATCTTTTCCGAACTCAGAAAATCTTATTCGGGGAAATATTGTAATCTACATTCGGAAGCTGAATGTGTTCTGTTCAGCTGGGGTTGGTTTTAGTGCAAGCTAAGGCTATGGTTATAGTGTTCTGTTAAACTGTGACCCATATTCAGTTTTAATTTCCTGTTATTTTATGTGTTTCCTTATACAATTTTAATACAACATTCAATGTATTTAGAGAATCTCTGGTAAGATGTGATTTTAACTCTTACCAACAAACAAATGGCTTTCTCTTGAGTATAAAAAAGTTTGAAGTTCATCCAAATAATTCGAGAAATTCAATTTTGAAAGTTGAAGTCGTGGCCTCCGTATTTTGTGATATTCCTTAATATAATAATACTCATATATCATATTTGCAAAATTTGATTCTAAACGATCGATACCTCTTCACAAATATCGAAAAGATGTTTCAGGGGAAAATATTATAATAAGCTAATAAATAATGTTGATAAATAATAGTACATAAACACCTTCTTTCATTTAGTTCCTGATAATTATTTCAGGATAATACGTATTTTACTAAGATAATATATTTTCAAATAAATTAATTTGTTTAAAATAAAGAAATCGTCAAGTATACCAAATGTAGAGTGCAAACTGCGTAACATAGTAATCAACTTAGCAAACAGTGACAGTTTATGTTTTCTGTACAATATTGTATTGCAAATTTTGCATTTCTTATAAGCCAGAAGAACTTCAAATTCAATTTCGTCTCTAAACACACAAGTTTGTATGGATATAGTATATATATGTATATATTGTAAAATTACTGGCGTTAAAAAAGTTATTTAAATATAATGAGGACATTGTTACTCCTCTAATGCTGACACATTCACTGCAAGAGAAGACATCTTTTCCAGCACTCGGATTAAATGCTCATCCGCCATTTATATGCTGCCAAACCATTTGGAATACTTAACTTTAATATTTTCGCAACATATTTTTTCTTTGCACTCATTTAAATATTCTGTCCGTCTCTAATATTGGCAACACTTACGCAGGAGACATACTTGGGGTGTAGAAGCCATTTTCAGAAAAACAACGGGGACAAAGATAATAAAAATAATAATAACAATAAAAGGTACTGGATGGAGTCAATAAGGAAGAGTAATCATGCGGCAGGATAATTAAGTGATATGAGTTTTATCAATTTGCATGCAAAGTAGCTCACTTCAGATGACGTGAGTAATACATATATTAGTTCATAAAAATTGAAAAACACAATTGTGTCTTATTGAAATATGTATTTTTTAATTATTTAAAGTCATTGATATTCTAATAAATGTGATATACGAGTATTATACATTCTACCAACTGAGCACATCAGGTTGTCCACCAGGATACTCGCCGGTCAGGCAAGCAGTACAGTAACCACTATTATTAGGATTTGCTGATACCTTATTCATTTGCACTGCTTTGACCAAGCCTTCCACACTAAGATAAGCCAAGCTATCCGCACCTGCATTTGAAATATGGTATAAAACAACTGTATTCTTTAAAACTGAATTGTATATATTTTACATACCAACATGACGCGCTAACTGATCGGGATTTAATTTATTTGCTATAAGCTCTTCACGCGTTGGTATATTTATGCCCATATAGCAAGGATATTGCAGTGGAGGACTTGCTATGCGAATGTGCACTTCAACAGCGCCTGCATCACGCAACAGCTTAATAATAGGCCCAATGGTGTTGCCGCGTACTATAGAGTCATCAATAAGCACAAGTCGTTTACCTTCCACATTTTCTGAAAGTGCACCAAACTTTTTGGCTACTCCAAGTTGACGCAAGCGAGTCGATGGTTGTATAAACGTACGTCCTACATAACGATTTTTGCACAACACCTCAGCAAAATGCAGTCCGAGCTACAAGGTAATTTGAAATTTGAGAATTTAGTAAAATAATTATCCTCTTTACGTTTTAATACGATTATTACCTCTCTTGCAAAACCATGTGCTGCAGCTGTACCAGATTCCGGGACAGAACTAACAATATCGGCCTTAATTGGGAACTCACGCGCCAGCTGTCGTCCACACTGTAAACGCACTGAGTAAACCATTTGACCTTCAAACGTGGAATCACTGCGTGCAAAATAAACATATTCGAATATACAGAAAGCCATTTTCTTGTATTGTGGTCGTTCTACTATATCAACTGTTCGAAAACCGTTCTTAGTTAGCTCCACAATTTCACCAGGTTCCACTTCACGCACGTAACGTGCCCCAATTGATAGAAAACCACAACTTTCGCTTGATACAACCCAACCTTCTGCTGGTGCGTCTTCTTGCTTCACATGTCCCAACGTTATTGGAACAATTTTACCAATGCATAACGGACGATTGCCATACGAATCACGCACTGCATAAATCCGATCTTTGTGCATAACGACAAGAGAATATGAGAGTGGTGCTAGTGTCATAAAATGACGTATACGTGCGGGCCAATTGGGTCCATCATGTTCTGAAACATCTTCTGGTGCACAACACAAGCTTTGTGCAATCAGTTCACTATCACTGTGTGTCGACAGACCAACCCCACGGTTAAGCACCTCACGTCGCAATGTGTCGCAGTTGACCAGCTCACCATTGTGTGCAATGGCCAGTGCACCGTGTGCTGTGTGCACTACAAAAGGTTGACAGTTGACCACTTCTGAAGCAGCAGCTGTGGAGTAGCGGGTATGTCCAATACCTAAATTGCCCTTAAGCTTTCTAATCGAGTCATCATTAAACAAATTATTGATCATGCCCATGCCTTTGTGCACATTAAAATTTTTGGAACACTTTCCCAAACTCGTTACAATGCCCGCGGATTCCTGACCGCGATGCTGTAATGCTACCAAGCCCAAACAAATCACTTGGGCTATGTCGATCTGTAAAAAAATAAATAAACTTATTTAAATCTTAAATGCGAATGACCGATAATCTCTTTTTAATTGTTGTTTTTGTTGTTCATTTAATTCGGTTGTGTTGTCAATGCATTAAATGCGACATAATATTTAATTTTTATTATTTAATATTTATTTAATTATAACATTCGACGTAAACAATAACAACAACAATTGTGCCATAAAAACATCATCAAATTCAAAAAAAAAATATGACTTCAATGACGTCAAATCACATTGTTTCCATTTATTCTATTTACAAAGAAGGGAGGGGAGGGGAAAATATTTTGAATGCAAACAAATTTTTATTGATAATCAATCTTTTCTGATGCATTGAAAAGTAGGTCAATAAACACGTTTATTAGCTTTGCCTTACGCTAGAATTTAACAGATAAAGACGTAGGTTCTTTTGAGTACATATCACGAATTTACGATGCTTCGAATTTCTTGAAGAGCCACAGTATGGAACTGTCTCTGAGGGATCGATGCGACAACCGTTGATCTGTTTCATCAATTTGTCAATTTGTATGAGCCAATCAAGATTCAATCTGTTCAATCCAGTAATACAATTCACCAATACGTAGTTCAGTGCGCTTTACCATATTCACAAAATTAATATAAATTTGAACAAGTTATATATTGGCTGCAATATACGGCACAACATTATGAGGTGTTAAAAGTTTTGAACACCTCAGAATACTCCTCGCCAAACCGAACTCTGCTGTAATTATTATAGAGGATGAACTCCGAAAAGCTAATAAAAGCCGATAAAATATTATAAGATATTATTATTTATTATATTATTATTTTTATTAGGTAAATTATTTTCTAGAAAAACTAAGATGAGTATAAAAACGATTATGCTACGATCTGAAGTCGCACATAAAGTACTGTGTAGCAAATGCCTAAGTACAGGTAAACAAGCCTATTTCATTCGAGAAGAAAGTACTCGATGCATACTATGATTAGTTCTAATAAGACGGTTCTTTTAAAAAAGACTATATAAGCTAGACCGATTCATAGAAGGTGGCATAGTAATGAGGTTTATGAAAATACAAAAACTACGATGACTAATCAAATATGATGAATGGTATTGAGAGGAATGAAAAAGATGAGTTCTTGATTCATGGTTAAGACGTGGAAGAGGAATAAAAATATTATAATTTTCCTTCTACTTTCTGAGGCTACGACATATAATCATAATGGCTTTCACAATTAAGCAGCAGAAGACACTCAAATGTGATAAATAGTATTCAGAGGAATGAAGAAGATCTGTTCTTAATTGTTCAGTAATGATATATATAATTCGTATATTATATTACATGTATCATAATTGTGACCTCACCTGTGTTGGCCAGTCTCCAGTGGCAATAGCGCCAAATACACCACATTCATGCGTAAGACCCGTAACTTCTTTGCCTTTTGGCTGCAAATCCTTATATTGTTTTTCAGGAAATTGTTTTTTATTAAGTCGGAGATCAGTCAATGCGACTGCTACGTCCTTATATTCCTCCGAGGATGTCTCACAACATGGTTCGGCATATTTTCTTATATTTACTATACAATTTTGATTAACATTCACATTTACACTTTAGAAATTTAAAATACAGTCGACCATACCTGTGCTTAAATTTAAATTTTCCTCATATTTTGAAGCCATTGCACTAAAAATTTCACTTCTCCACCGATTTTCCTTTTCTACACTTACAAATTATATTCAATTCTAGTAATATTCGGGTGACTATAAAAACTCCGTAGTCGTGTGCTTACATTGAAGTGCAATTACAAAATGATAAGAACTGCAGCTGTTTGCCAAATTATGGATGCCGATTAGCGATCGAACGTCTGTAGTCTGATAATGCCGAGCATCTTAAGTAACATAAACACTGATAAGAATTTATTTGTAAAAAATTAAAGCGGGCGATTCAAGCAAGATTTCCTCTGCATCTTTAAAAAATTTAAATACTGATCAACTCATTTACGAGTACGTGTGCGATTCCTAACAAAACAAACCGACCTCAGACAATGCTAAATTTTTGGCAAATAAGTTCAAGTGTTTCCCGCGTTCTATTCGGCGATGAACTACATTTCGACATCACGTTTTTCGTTATTTTCGGTTCGAACTGATAAGTCGAAAATTTGAAAAAAAAAAAATGTTTCTATAATCAATTATGATTTGAGAAATGCCTAGTGACCACTTTGATAAGAGTACTGAATGGACTGAATACTACCTATATATGTACTCATACATATGTGATAAGTATATGTCATGTAGACAAGTAATAATGTATGTTTGCTACTTTTTATTATTACTTATTTTTATGATTTCTTATCAGTAAAAACCACGAGTTTTTAGAAATGCAAACGCTGCTATAAATAATTAAGATATTTAATCGATTTTTAATCAAATCAGTATAAGAAACATTAGAACTTGCTGAACTTGCAATGTTTAACAGTTTCTGTAGCCTACTTTAGTTTATGTATAGAAGAGATACTATTAAATTGTTAAATGTTAACAGTTGTTAATTTAAAATATTCGTGCTAATGAATTATGTTAAGACTGGCTTCAGTTACTATGGCGTATTTTGTTAGGCGAACTGTGCAGGAGTTGTCATGAATAGGAACTGAATAACAGGGGAACTGAAGACATTACTGTGTCTTTACCCCGACTATAGATCAAGCAATTCCAATACTTGGGAGACCACTACATCACTGACATTGAGGAGATAATGAAAGTAGACCTATCAGCTCTATTCCTAACTTCATTTGGAAGACTTAATGTAATATCAGTAATTTTATGGATACATCAAATATATATATTACATCAAATATATTTGAAGATTAAACAGGAGTTCTGCATAGAAAATAACAAATCCATCAAATCAATATTGTTATACATTTTCTCACTGTGTTTTGCTTCCTTAAAACTCTATCAATAAATATTAATTTTTCACGTTCATTTCGCAATTTACACATAACAGCAATGCAAATGCAAAAACAAATGAAAGAGCAAGAGAAAATCATAAATTTACAACAGCAACGCTGTTGTCATTTGCACTACAAAAGTTTATTTGTATAGAATATTTTTGCGTGATTAGTGCGAATAAATAAACTCTTAATTGCAAGTGAATTATTGAGAATTAAAATTTATAAGATTATTACTAACTTCCAACTAACTATTTGTTAATTGGAAATTGTGAGTCCTCTAAGTAATAAGAATATTTTACATATCTGTTTAACTACTTTAGTAATTAAATTCCGTAAAGTTTCGTCACCATGGAAATAATAGAGATGAAACGATAGATCATATATTCTGTAAGGATCTCTAGAAATTGTTGAAACTAAAGCTGAGTGTTGAAACAGAACATGAAATGATTTTTTAATAATTTAATAATATGTAAATGTTATCTAAAATAACAAATATACTAAGAAAATAAAACTAATAATTCAGTTACTGAAATATTAAAGAAAAATTTAAGAAGGAAATTAAATTTCATTAACTGAAAACAAATAAAAATTTTGTTTTTGTTAACATAATATGCAGAATCAAACAAAAAAAAAAAATAGGATAAAATACCAACTGCAGACCCAAAATAAAGAAATAATTTGAAGAAAATACATTATGTGGTCTTATCAGCTGCCATCACAAGTCAACTAATGATATGCGATTTGATGAGAAATAAAAATGACCACTACTGGCCAATCATTCCTACATGCCCTTCCAAGACCGTTCGGTTATGGCAACAATGCTAAATCGCACTTGAGTTTCATTTACCAAAAAGCATCTCAAAAATTACGCTAAAGTATCTGAAACTTACTTTATTTTGGGTTTTATTTTATTTTGTGTTATATTTTTTTTTACAATACTTGATAGTTGGAGTTAAAAACAAACCATTATCTCAGTTAGTAAAAATATTATAGGAAGAATATATGCCATAAGTAACAAATGTACTCACAATGAGAAAATAAAAAAAATAACACTAAAGAATTATAGAAATATGTTATATATCAGTGCTGACTAGCTGTGGAAAGAGCACCGTTGAGTTTTTTAAAATGTGATATATACATAATGAATTGTAACATTTTTTAAAATTACTACATTTAGCTTGTTGCAGTTATTAGAAAATTCCTTTCCAATTATATATAATACATTTCTCAGTAAGTTCCATGACTAACCATTTGGCAACACTACCCATACAAATATATGATCATAAAGTGGTGGATGTATTGCTGATCTATTTTCGAGCGGAAATGTACGCTTATGAGGTTTAAGATTAATTCAACCTTATCAAAAGGTTGAAAGACACTGCTATCTTTATGTACTCGTACTTACAAATTAAGGCAGCAATAAAAACTTTTCCTCTAGAAAATTATCTCTAAAAATCCCATGGTCTGTAATAACATACTGTAGTAACTGGCAATCAGAAACAAAATACTGCTGTGATAAGTAATCAATGAATCAATCCAGGATAATATCACAAAGACCAGATATGCTATTTAATTCTATGAACAAAGTGCTGTCATTATCATCGGAATCTGAGTCTCTGGTTATAACCGTCAGATGTTGTTATTGGGACGACAAACTGGGCCATCACTAGACTAAATATTTTTTTGGTTTTTATAATGATACATTTGCGACTATTGAGTAATTATCTGCTTTATCATCTTAATGAGATAGTTGTATTCAAGGAGACACCGTGTCGTTTCTGCGTAAAAGCACATCTTCAGTAATATTCTTCACGACTGCTTGGCTTTGAATTAGACCAGGCGGGGAATATTGCCGGTGGCTCTGATTTCTGCTTGATATTAGAAACTCAATACTTATATCCTTAAGAGCTGACTTCTCAACTAGCAATTATAACAAAAGGTAAAACTTAATCGTAATTTTAGATTTGTAGAGAGCCAGTACGCTCTTAGTTTCTATTCTAATTATTTCAGTAAATGATATTCAGAATTTTTTAAATCCATAATTGCAATCCTAAGTTTATATTTTTCAATTCGTAAGTAGGTAAAACCAACTTATTTGATTCAAGTTCTAAAGTACCTGATATAACTATTTCCACTTATTTGTAGAAAATATATATACCGATCATGATGACAGCACTTTGTACTATGTAAATATATTCCATAAGCCACTAAAATATATTAATAGAAAACAGTCAGACATAGTATTAACAGTCGAAACTACTACACATTTATACATGTTTATATATAAGTATGAAAAAGATATGTTACTGTACTCATCATCACATATGAAATAAAAAGGAAAATGATACATCTACTTGGAGGAAAATCGCTTCTTCCAACCAAGTGCTGTGCAGCATGGCATAGAATTCGCTTGCAGAGCTCATGCATAATTCAGCAGAATACTGAATGATTATTCTTTATGGGACTGTTTATTTCTTTTGACCATTTATTTCATTTTTTGGAGTATATTTTTGTTATATTTTTTCCATTCTTTTTATTTTCGGTTAGCGAGTTTCCAGTTGTTTGCGCTTGAATTTGTCCTGACGTTGACCATCATCAATGACGCAAAACAATTCTCGTACAAAGCATTTGTTTGCGTTCATATCGAACTGCAAGGCATTTAAAATCAACGAAATCAACCTTTTGCAAACTCCACCCAAATATAGCCACATGGAGTTGCCTGCCCAAAATCCCCATCCACTTCAGTGGTGGTTAACTAAGTATATTGGCTGCATACGATTTCGCTACGTATCATTTGATTTTATATTATTTTATTTTATGCGGTCAAAGTGGCCGAAATAAATTTTATTTGTTTTTCCCGCAATTGAATAAAATGTTCTTTTAATGTTGTGTTGAAAAGTTCCTCATAAATGTATCTTTTGGTTTGTTATTCACTGTGGTATGCTGCAATCGTTACGAAGCGCACATCTTTAACCAAAGATGTGGGGAACGGCTTGTGTACGGGTTGATAGCATCGCTCGATTTCGTATCTGTTATTGTTTTCGGGGTTGAATATATAATTGAGTACATTTGGCTAGGAAAGTTAAATTAAATAATGAAATAAAATAAAAATTTATCTTGCCATTGGCTGGTCAAGTTATTTTGCACATATTTATTTGGGCTTCATTGTTTTTTCCATTCTTTTTTTAAATCAATTAAATGAAATAAAGAGACAACAAATAGTTACAGAATAAAAACATTATATAGAGTATATGGAGAATATAAATCATTAACGACATTTTGAACATGCTAAATCACTGCCTTTCACAAAAAACAAAGTGAAAAAAAGTAGAACTCAGTAGAACTTATATAAAAAATGTATATAAATTTCCGCTTCGTCGGAGAGTATTCTACGGTCTGCTGAGCAAACAAATCAGTATATTGTTCGAAAGACACCGAACCACCGACCAACAAGGCAGCCATTCTCATGGCAGTTTAATGAAAACAATGGTTGCAATCAAGAACTCATGTGACGCATGCAATTGTGGCTTTGATGGCCAAGTGTCAAATTTCATGTTTTCATTGTACAACTACTCATCAACACACCAGAAGGAATGGAAATAATTTCGAAAAATGGAACTCAAAAGTGCAGAATAATTGGTTTCAGCGTCTGATAAGCACGAATTGAACTTTAGCACTCCAAAACCAAGAAGAGGATGGAAATCTAGCTCTCATCTTGACAAACTATTAGAATACCTACTTATTGGGATACAAGTGATGAGATATTAGATTCATTGCAATTATAGCATATTTAATCTCAGTTACTTTTGTAATAGAGCATACTTAAAATAG